CTGGGAGTCCTCAGTTTCTCTCACGATCTAGCACTCGAGAGAAGCCCCCAACTGTCACACGGCTCGATCGCGAGGATCATCTTCCTCTCCACGCCGACCGGCAACGATGCAAACGCACCAGATGTGACTCAAAGACCTACATCATGTGTAAGTAAGTGCCTGGTTCATCTGTCTCAACAAGGAGCGAAACTGTTTTGAAGAATTCCACCCTAGAAAAACATGATAAATTTGTTCAACGCTACCCAGTGTGACATATCTGGTACATAATACCCAAATGCCCAATGTGCCATATTGGCACAGTCTGTAACTTTATAAATACAAGTCTTAGATGAAAGAAACGTTCAAATTTGGTTATTGTACTTCCTTTTGAACATGTTCTGTGAAAATGAAATTTTTCTGTCAATGATTTCTATACCTGGGCACTAGAGGGTTAAAAGAGTGGACTGGGATGGGTTTCACATGGAATGTCTCCCGAAACTCAACCCATCTCAAACATAAACTTTTGATCGATTTCATGAAACCTTTCTCGAAATCGTTCAAAGACACACACCAAAATTATCCACCAAACCCCGAAAAAATAAATGTTGGTTCACTGAAGACTGCCAAAAAAGCTGTTGCGGCAAAAAAAATCAGCTCTCAGGAAGTTCATCAACTCTAAAACAAACGAAGACCTCACAAATTTCAAAATTGCACGAGCCCAAGAACGCAGAATAATCAGAACGGTCAAAAACATCGTTTCGCAATTATGTCTCTAAAATAAAAAAGACAACACACCATTGCACAAAGTCTGGAAGTTAATAAAGAAATTAAAAGGTACTAAAAGAGACACAATCAAACACATCTTAAAACCAAATAACTCCTTCGCAGAGACAGAAAAAACAGTAGCTGACTGTATAGCACCAATCCTCTTCGGACATTCTTCTACCCAAAATCACAACCCGGAATTCAAAAAAGTGAAAATGGCTTCTGAAAAGACAACTGTTTGTTTTACCTCTTCAATTGAATAAAACTATAACTGCAGCTTTTCTCTTGATGAACTAAAATGTAACATTGCAGAACTATCAAACACAGCTCCAGGCCCTGATCAAATACACAACGAAATCATCAAACATCTCCCAGACGAAACACTCCTATTACTCCTTAATAGTTACAACGAACTCTGGCTTTCTCAACAATTTCCAAACAGTTGGCGTCTTGCCACTATTATATACCAATCCCAAAACCAGGAAAAGATCGCTCTAACCCCTCAAACTACCGTCCCATAGCACTTACAAACTGTTTCTGCAAACTTATGGAAAAACTTATTAACAAACGTCTAATGTGGTTTCTCGAAACCTCAAACTCCTTATCCAATTTCCAATGCGGTTTTCGCAAAAATCACTCTACTATTGACCATCTCGTCCGTCTTGCAACTTTCATTCGGGAAGCTTTCATTCGGAAAGAGCACCTTGTTGCTATTTTTTTTTTCGACTTAGAAAAAGCTTTCGACACCACATGGAAACATGGTATTTTAAAAGACCTGCATGACTTGGGCTTACGTGGAAATCTTCCCGAATTTATGCGAAACCTTTTGAAAGATCGATCTTTTCAAGTAAAAGTAGGTTCAACCCTATCAAATTTACACACCCGAGAAGAAGGAGTCCCCCGAGGAAGCATCTTATTACCTGTTCTTTTCGAAATCAAAATCAATTCCATCTCAAAAACCCTTCAAAACAATATTGACTGCTCACTTTATGTTGACGACTTCTTGATCTGCTATAAATCAAAATCCAAAATAGATCACATTGAATGTCAGCTTCAGCTTCAACTCCATAAACTGGAAACTTGGACAAACGGGCTCGGGTCTAAATTTTCTCCAGCAAAAACAAACTTTGTACATTTTTGTCTGTCGCACAAGTGTGTGCAACGGCAAGACTTAATATTATATTTGTTTGGGGAGAAAATACCTGTTAAAAACAAGCTCGTTTCCTGGGCGTAATATTCGACAATAAACTTTCTTTCCTGCCACACTTGAAAGACCTAAAGACGAGGTGTCAGAGTGCTCGCCATTCCTTAAGAGTATTGTCCAATCCCGAATGGGGAGGAGATACTGAAATACTTCTTAAACTTTACCGTTCCCTTGTTCGTTCCAGGCTGGACTATGCCAGTCCTGTTTATGGATCAGCTGGAAAGTCTAACCTTAAAATTGTAGACCCTGTTCAGAACCAAGGCCTTCGCCTTGCCCTAGGCGCTTTCCGTACTTCACCAGTAGAAAGTTTACAGGCAGAAGCTCACGAACCATCTTTAGAACTTAGAAGGAAAAAACTCTCTTTGCAGTACACTTTGAAACTTAGCTCAGTACTCCAAAACCCATCCCACAAATGTTTCTTTGGCCTTTCCGAAGATCTAAAAACTCTATCCCCCTTTGGGAATAAAGTAAGGCCTGTCGGAATAAAAATCCAGAACGATCTCCAAGACATTGATTTTTCTAAAGACATAATCGAGCCCTTTGCCATGTCCAGCATACCTCCATGGCATTTAACCAAACCAAACATAGATACCAGTCTTGAAAAACACACAAAAAGTTTACAGACATGACAAAACTGCATACCTAAACTCATACAAACAGCTAATATATAGATACCCTGAAGAGAAACTCTTTACAGATGGATCCAAAAATGACTCCTCAGTAGGAGCTCCTGCCCTTGCATCGCCACACAGCTTAAGCTTAAGAAAACTCCACCTAGAAGCCTCAGTCTACACTGCTGAGGCTACAGCTCTTGAAATGGCCTTAAATATAATAGATCAATCAACCAAGTCTACTTTCCTAATCCTTTCAGACTCTCTCTCTCTCTCTCTCTCTCTCTCTCTCTCTCTCTCTCTCTCTCTCTCTTTCTCTCTCTCTCTCTCTCCCTCTCTCTCTCTCTCTCTCTCTCTCTCTCTTTTCTTAAATCTTTAGAGCGCTCTGACACCTCCGACAACAGAATTTTAAAACTTATATTTAAACTGCATTTTCTACATCAGTCTGGAAAAACTATTACAATAGTTTGGTTTCCAAGCCATGTGGGCATTGGTGGCAACGAAGCCATTGACCAATTTGAACAAGAATTTCTAAAACTACCAGAAAACAAAAATAGTAAAATCCCTTTCTCTGACATGAAACCGAAAGTAAAAGAACACATCACATCCTCCTGGTCCCAAATTTGGAATCAACAAATACACAACAAACTCCATAACATTCACCCGAAACTTGCGCCGAGGAAACCCCTGTCTCTCCTACGAAGAGAAAACGTTATTTATACGAGATTAAAGATAGGGCACACGCACGTCACGCACAAACATTTACTCGAAGGAGAGGAAGCTCCTTTTTGCGTGGCGTGCAACACATACTTCACAGTTCGGCACATCCTAACGGAATGTGTTGAATTTAATGATGTGCGTAAGAAATATTTTAAGTGTAAAGATGTCAAAACTCTTTTTGACATTGTTGACCCTAGAAAAATGTTAAGTTATGTTAAAGAAATAGGACTATCTAATAGGATATAAAAATACATGTATATAGTTATCGTTGTCAGTGTATATATGCATACACTGAAATCAATATTGTATAACAAATGTAAATAGGTCTTTACCATATTTACAAAAATGTTCATAAATGTCTCTCCGTCCTTTTAGCATAATGAGAATAGTGTGACAGTGTGCGGTTGCGAGCTCCGAAAAAATCTTACTAAAACACGTCTGATTTTTTGCGGTGAAACCTGTTGGCACTTAAATGACTAAAATTAGGTCGATAGTACCGTAAAACACCTACTCAATCAATCAGTCAATCTTCTCCTTCTTTTCTTTATATATTATTATTATTACTCTCTTGTAAAACCTGTAATCTTGGACATTTATTTGACCTTATTGTGCGTGGTGTTGCAAGTGCTGTAAAACTGTTAAGAATACTGAAAATAAAACGGATGGCGTAGCACGTACATGAACTGCAGTCTAAGTTATCATATACGGATATCCTTTGTCGTGGAGAAAAATGGTAGTGTAAGACATATGGACGACTTGGGTTGTATGAAAACCACCCCCCCCCCCCCGCCCCCCGAAGGGAAAGAAAAAAAATCAACAAAAACACTTTGGTTAGAAGCAAGTTGTGAAAAGCTTCATAATTTAAAAAAAAAACACAACCACCACCATCACCACCAAAACATCATCATCATCATCATCATCATCATCATCATCATCATCATCATCATCATCATCATCATCATCATCATCAATAACCACCACCACCACTACAACAACAACAACAACAACAACAACAACAACAACAACAACAACAACAACAGCAACATCAACAATAAAACTAAAATTCAACTAAAACATGTGGACAAAACTGAAGTTGTTGTTAGTACAGGTAATAGTATTGGACAGGTGGAAGTTACCTCTGATTCGAATGTACCTGAAAAGAACACCAGGCTTTTTTATTGTTTAATAAAGTCACATGCGTCGAGAGAAAGGGGAATCAGGCGCTCGTCAATTTTTGGGCAAATGGAGTTATAGGTATTAACGAAAAGCTTGTTCATTTGACTTGCTTTTGATTACAAACTTGCTCGACTATCTTGAACAGAAGTGTTGAATTTGCGATTGAAGGGGGTGGTGGCAGGCTGGTGTCACATTAAAAATTAATGAGAAAACAGCCTCGTAATTCTGGTATTTTCCATTGCTTGAAAGTCGGTGGAAACTGCACATTTATCTTATTTGTTTTCCTTTCATCAACATTTTAAAGTAATGTCCACACAGAAATATGTTTTTAATGGACATAAAAGATGTTAATCAAAAAAAAAAATCAAAAATAAATTCTGAAGGAAAAACTGATTGGTAGTTTCCACGTTTCTGTTATTTTGACGAGCGCCTGGCTTCACTTTGGTACATCATAATTAGTAGTTTCTTCGTGTCTATTATTTGGACGAGCGCCTGGTTTCACTACGATGCCTCGCATGGTGGTTACAAGATTCCTTTGTCCTCAGATCTGAGGGTTTACCACTGACGCGGACGCGGACTGTCATGGGTGAACAAACGGACGTTTCGATGGGAGGGACGACCACCAATTCTCCAGGCATGGTAGCCGTTGAGATCATTGCAAGGTTAGTAGCACCTGCAAAATGGTGAAATGGTAAAGGTTTAACGCCCCTTATCAGCAAGTAGCACCTGTTTTATACCGTCAGAACGCTGGTAAACTGTTCTAAGCACGGAAGGATACATGTTCTTGCCATGAAATAAGTTATACATTTTTAATCCAACTGTTCCGGGTTTTTTTTGTGTGTGTAGACTTATATTATTATTGCTAAATCTCCCACGCAAAATCGAAGGTAAACGAGGCTAGGGTAGACCCAAAAACAACTTACTGGAGAGCCTGAACTGATGAATGAAGGGGAAAAATCAGGAAAAAAGTAGCTTTTGTTGATAGTATCCAAGCAGAGGAATGACAGGAGAACTGTGATCGCCGATGTCTGTTGTTGTTGTTGATGATGATGATGATGGTGATGATATATCTTTTCTTACTTTTGTATCTTTTGAACTTTGTTTTTTGGCAAAATATCTCTCGAGCTCATACAATCGATAGAACGGGCAACGGGGCTGCGGTACACGAATGTAAAATTATACTTTTTTTTTTTCAAAAAACAATTTTTTTTTGCTGAGGACACCTTAACAGCTGGCTTACGATACGCATTTTTTTTTTTGGGGGGGGGGTTGTTTTGTTTTGTTTGTTTGCTTGTTTGTTTTCTTTCTTTGTTTGTTTTCTTTGTTTGTTTGTTTGCTTTTTTGTTTGTTTTCTTTGTTTGTTTTGTTTGTTTGTTTGTTTGTTTGTTTTCTTTTTTTGTTTGTTTGTTTGTTTGTTTTCGGGGTTGAGGGGAGAGGGGGGGGGGATGGGGTAGTAGGGCTTACTTTAAAAAAAATTATTTTTAACGACGGCGTTCCAGCCGCTGTGAAGTAGTTAATTACGGATTTCACTTGTTTTTCTGTCATCTGCTTTAATTTACATTTTATGCCCCCCTCCCCTCCTCCTGCTCTGGGCTCCTGACTCATTCTACTAACACTCCTTGGCTCCTTCTTACTGCTCTCTTTCAGCGACACCCTTGATTTTAGGGAAGGTATGATCTAATAGCTAGCCTTCTCGGATAAGGTAAAAAAATATTGGAGGTCTCATGTGCAAGGTACGCACGTTAAAAATCTCATGGTGGTTCTAAAATCGATAAGAGTGGACTTCAACCGCCACCCGGGCAAAACTCAAAATTAATTCCTATCAGACTGAAAATGCCGTATTGTTTGATTTTCCTCATTGCCGAAAGCCAGTTATAACATGGCAAGTCATTGACATCAACAGATTTTCTCTTTAATCAAAAGCGACGTCTGTATGTGTAAAGGTAGGGAGCGTCGCAGCCGCATGCAAAAGACGTGAGTCAGTGGGGAGCCCTTCACTATTTAATTTTCTTCGTCTCTCAGACGGGATGATGTATCTTTCTTAACCCTAGTCAGCCGTGGCAGATTGAGTCGAAGTAGCCCGCCTCCTAAATTGTTCAAACTGTGTCGATGGAGGAGTCACGTAAAACGTCTACACATCTACGATCTTCCAATAATGAAGAGAGAATGCCATCAAAATGTTTGAAAACTTTGGTGAAGCCGTTGACTGTCGATTGCGCTGGGGTTTTTTTTGCCCTAGCCAAAATAATTGAGGGGGTGGCTTTTTCCACCCTATTTGTTATAGCCAGCACGCTCGTAGAATGGGATGCATGGGGTGCCCCAGTAAAAAAAGAAAGAAAAAGAAAAAGAAAAAGAGGGGCGGATAAAGCGATAGAATAGACTTCATTACATGGAAATCCAATTCTTGTCTTGCACGTACAACAGACGAAGAAATGAACATCACTTTTATAATAAGTTCTAGAAAGTCATTAAGACCATGTGAATTCTTTGGCAACCGCGCTGGTAACGAGGCTAGGCGTCTTGTCTAGTTACTGTGTGTGGCGTCTGCTAGCGAATCATGTGGCACGTTGTGGTGGAATCAGGCGTTCGTCAATTTTGGGACATATGAGGTTATTGGTATCATCTTAAAGCCTGTTCATTTGGCTTGCTTTTGGTAAAAGAAGATATCCATCTATGTTGAATAGAAGTCGAGATATTTGCAATGGAGGGAGCTGAGGGTCGCCTGGTTTCAGAGGTAAAATTTGCGAGAAAATGGCCGCCAAAGGTTCGTAACTTCCATATCTAGAGAGGCCTTGAAACGTACAAACTTACAATTTTTGTGCTTTTAATCAATGTTTTTCAGTAAGATCCTTACAGAAATGTGTTTTTAAATGAACGTATAAGGTGAAGAGTCAATAAAAGAAAATTAGAACAAAACTGCTGGACGGCCAGAAAAACACCAGTTTCTTTGATTTCAATTTGTTGACGAGCTCCTGATTTCACGATGCCTCAAATATGTAACAGAACAGAGAGGGCGAACTGTTTCTCATGTGGGTGGCAGACATGACGATATCGTTGGTTGGTACATACGCCAACAACACGACTGACTGGGTCTACAAATACTGTCGCTGACATTGTCGACGCTCATATGATAATGAGCTGGGCTGCTTGTTAGCGGATTTGAATTCCAGACCGGTGCTTTTTTTCTTTCATTCTTTCTTCCTGTGAAGCATTAGGAAAGGTAAGGAAAGCCGAACTGCTTTGTTATGTTGGGTTTTTTTTTCTGTCTGAGGTAAATTGTTAGAAAAGGAAAGGTAAATACAGAATGGTGCTGTTTTGTTATGTTGTTGTTTTTTCTGTCCAGGGTAAATTTTTAAGAAAGATAAGAGAAGGATATATATTGTTGTGGTGTTCTTTTTTCTGTCTTTGGTAAATTATAAGACAAGGTAATAATTGGCATAAAATTACTCTATTGCGGTGTTCTTGTTTCTTTCTTGGGTATATTATTGGGAAAAGGTAAAGAAAAAAACAATAGGTGTTTGTTATGGCGGGTTGGTTTTATTTATTTATTTATTTTTATTTCTTGGATACAATATCATAAGAGAAGATAAAGAGTCATATGTTGATGGATCGTTCTTTTTTCAGTCTTGGGAAAAATGTTTTTTTTAAAAGGGTAAAGAATGGCAAATTTTGTATATAGTGTAAAGCACATAGAGCTTGCTTTCGAGTGGGGACATGTGCTATGCAAATGCTATTTATTATTATTTACTGCTCCATTGAAAAAAATGTGCTTTTTAAATGCCTCCTCCAGTTTTATAAACAATTAGTTCTGGTGGGATTTCTGTTTAGGGTAAATTATTAGAAAATGTGTGAATGACCAACTTTGCCGCGGTGTATTTTTCAGTCTTGGATAATTTATTAGAAAAGGAAAGAAAAACAATGACTGAGATTAACGTGGTTGGGTTTTAATTTTATCTTGGGTATTAGATAAGGTACGAAATAAAAAAATTTACTTTTGTATTATCTTTTAAGTGTTTCTTTTGCTGTCCACCGTTTACTTGTTTTGCTTTGTTGGTTATATGTATGCTCGCCAAAATAATTGAGGAAATATCTCATTTAATTTTAATTTTTATTCCCATTTTCAGGGAAATACAAATGAATATCATAATGTCTTAAACCTCAGGTAAGCATAATGATCTCAAATATTAAATTACATTTTTTTTCTCTTTTTTCCCCTTTTTTTCAGGGGGGTGGGTGGGTCGTAATAATACTTTTAGTTAAGAAATATGAATACACAGATAGAAGGCCAACATAGCACTAATATAGTAAAACAATTTTATTAGGTCTCAAAGAAGAGAATAACAGTGTTTGTCGACCAACTTCCCCCATACCCTACGCTCTACAGTGACTATGCAGATTACGTAAGCTTTGACGTCAGATGCACAACACAGTGGGTGACCTTAATACCTGACTTCAGATTCAAAAGGGACAGTTTAAAATCAAAGTTTGCGTAAGTTTCAATATTATGGTATCGAAACATGTTCCAGGCGAGTCACTTTGCTTATTTTGATATTATGCTGATTCCTAAAATAAAAATTAAGTTTTTAGCTACGATAATTATTTTTAAGGTTCTACAGGCAAACAATCCTGCGCGCCAGCCAAACTTCCAAGGGATTTTGCGCTCCAACCTATTTCTCGATACTATATTATTGTGTATAACCAATACCATCGCATCATGACGAGGTATTAAATAAGCACAGTCGCTATTCCGCAGTTGTATTTTTTTCTCCTGTTTGGTTGATTTTGTTTTATTGGGGTTTTTTGCGGAGGGGGGGGGGGGGGGGGGGGAGGAGGAGGTTTGTTGTTTTGTTTTGTTTTGTTTTTGTTTTGTTTTGTTGTTGTTGTTGATGTTGTTGTGTTATTGTTGTTGTTGTTGTTGTTGTTTTTGGTTGTTTCTTCCGAGGGGAGGAGAAAAATACAGTCGTTATTCCCCGGTCCTCCATTTTTCTGAGTCTTTTAAAAGGATGTTGTCATGTTCACAATCTGCGAACAAAATAGACTTTCCGCTTACCCGTTTCACCCCCCCCCCCACACACAAAATTTTTTTTAAAAAATAAATAAATAAATTATATCGTTGCAGTTTCTTCATCTGTGTTATCGATTGCATTTGCTCAAGAAATTTTTTTGTTTGTAGAAATTCATAAACTAAATGTTGAAGAAAGCAAAAAGGAAACGAAAATAAAGCTAATGTAGGTGTACAATTTCTTAAAAGAAGAAATGAAACATTATTAATTATCTTTCTCCAGTAGAAATTTTCCTGTTTGGCTCAGAGAATGTAATCAGCTTGCAAGCATTATGTTGATTTATTTCCTTAATTATCATCTTACCGTATCAGACATGAAATTTCACATCTTTGGGGAACTAATTAACGATACCACCCCAGTATTATAAACGAGTACCGCCTCTTATCCAACTTCACCATATTTACCTGCTACTATTTGTCTTGCAATTAACAACAAAGAGATCAGTGGCTATCTATCTATCTATCTATCTATCTATCTATCTATCTATCTATCTATCTATCTATCTGTCTATATTTCTATCTATCTATCTACATCTTTCTAGTCATCATCATCAGATAAAAACAAAGCAGGGAGGGAGAGACGATAATTTTTTGGTTCGA